ATAATGCATTACTTGCTCAAGGTTGCAGTCAGAAAAGTGTTACCCAAGAATGTAGTTATGGTTTTGATTAGGTTGGGGAACTTTTTAAGATCCATATTTAGCAATGTTATAAGAAAAAGCGATCTTGATAAGATGAAAGCAGAAATCGTAGATATTGAATGCGAGCTTGAAAAGATCTTAAGTCTTAATCACTTCTATCTTAATCACATTATGTGTAGTCAATACTATATCTAGTTTGAATGTGTAACCTTTTAGCTTAATCACTTCTCTGGGCTGCCTTCCCAAGGAGGTTACTGTACTTAAATTCCAAAGCCTCCCAGCCCGGTGACTAGGAAATGGGTTTGCCCTTGAAATAATCATGATTAGATTAGTCCATACTCCAAATAGTTTAATGTTATTTGAGTTTATATATGTATGTCTTATATATAGAGTAATAACTTTGTAATATATGACTACTGTGGATCTATTAAGATTTTGCGAAAAATTTGCTAAATTATTTATATATTTTTTAATTGTATGTAGGTAATGAAATCAAAGAAGGCGATGAAAGCAGTAGTGAGGACTTTGCATAGGAGCTGAATTAGTGATGTTAACTTTATTGATGTTATAGAAATGTTATATTTTTTAAGATTGAAAACTGTATGTTTCACCTTTTTTTGAATACTATAAAAATATTTGTATATTTTGCTTTTATTGATATTAGAATTACAGATCTTGAATTCTAATTTTGGTAATGAACATTTATTCTTGTGAATGATTTATGTGTATTTTTATGTTATAAAATTATTGCAATAGCTCAATATAACAAAATGTTGTGGAAGTGGACCAATAATATATATAGGAATCAATAGCTTAATTATAACTGTTGTATAATGTAAGAATTGTTGCAATACCATGTATTAACCGTAGCAATATCCATTGAGCGACAATTTTATAATTGTTGAAAACTGTTGCATTACCTTATAAAACCGTCGCAATATAATGAAATTGTATGTTGAATTGAAAGAAAAATTGTAGCCATAGCCTCAATAAAACTGATTCATAAACCTCTTTCGCACCGGTTCATAACCATACCAATACGACACTAACCGTCGGCAAGTAATTCAAGCGAGAACCGTGGCAATAGGTCCATCTATGACTACAATTATATGAACTGTCGTACCAAACCGTCACAACAGATCTATTACTACGCGATCTGTTGTAGTGACTAAATTTATTTTCGTACATAAATATATGAGACACATACTTTTAGTGATCAAACATCAAAATTCGTAGCAAACTTTTGTCAATTAAAATTTTCCACTAAAAATTTTATTGGCGTCATTTGTTAAGTAGTGTTGGTCACAAATTTAAAGTTATCGGTGGCACATTATTTCGTCACTAATAGTGTATCTAATTCATGCCAGATTATTTTTTTTCATAAAATTTAATTTTTGGACACAAAAAAATTTCATGTAAAAAATATTTTGTTACAGTATTGACAAATTACAGTTCGTAGTCAAATATTATAAGTTTTACATTTGATTATGACATTTATTTTTGTCGCTAATAATATAAATAATTGATGACAAAAATTTTATTGTCTCTAATTGATGTGTGATTTAGTGATAACAAAAAAATTGTCACAAAATATGTAAGGTGTTAAATAGCGACGACTTAAAATTTGTAGTGACTATTTGAACTATTTGCTACGAAAAATATTCATAGCTAAATTCAATTTTTTTGGCTACATTTATTTATAATCACAAGTGACAACTTACAAAAAGAATAATACAAGCACTTCATAAAAAATAGAAAGAGACCATTAGTTCATTGGCGAGGAAAAATATTAAATCCAACGAATTCAATGGATTCTTTAAAAATAAAAAAATTCAATTCATCAATTTTCTTAAATAATGCAATTATAAAATGCATCATTTGAAAAGTACAATCTAGGTTATAAGTACCGTGAGTAGTGTATGGTTCTACCACTAGATTTCTACTGTTTGTTGGTTTAACACTTTTTTTTTAAATTTCATAAACATTTGTCGATAAAGACGATACAAAAATAATTTCTCAAGTCTTGGTGTAATTTTTGTGTGTGTATACTGATTTCTGATTGGTGAACTTCATAGACTATACTTGCTTCTATTTACAAATAATTACATATTTAATAGTAATTCCACAGACGTAGGTAGAGCAACTATATAGAGATAAGATCGATTACAAACTTAGACTTCACAACGGTGCGGAATTTTTCATAAATTTCTTTTAACTTTTTTTCCATCAGTGTGAGAATTGAAAAAAAGTAAATAATGAAAGCACAAATGAAAGAAATGAACCAACCAGAATTATATATTAGTAAAAATGCACAAGTATCCCGCTAGACTATGACCGAAATCCCAGAGACACACCTTAACTATTCTAAGGTCCTATTACCTCCTGAACTTTTTTTTTTGTAATTTTGTGCAAATTTTTGACTTACGTGGCCTCCAAATATCCTCACATGCCTCAATCGTGTTGATTCACGGAGTGTGCCACGTAAGACAAAAGGTGTACAAAATTACGGAAAAAAAAGTTAAGGGGGGTAATATGACTTTAGTTTAGTTAATGTGTCTCTTGGATGTTGGTTATAGCTTTGGGGGTACTTGTACATTTTCCCAATATATTATGATGAAGTACTATAGTTATGAGTATTGATGTTTTTTTTAAATAATTGATTTACTGATCGAATTGAACTGATTATTCAATTATTTAAAATAAAGTCAAAAGTTTAATTTTATATAAATTTATAATTGTACTAAATAATTTTTAAAATTTATAATGATGAATCATACTGAATATATTGAAAGGTATTTTATAAAATATATAATATAATTTAAAATATAATCTACATTTGAAATAATGTGAGCGGTAAATTTCATGCATTTGCTTAAATGTATTAATAACCATATAATATGTTGTATATATCGAAGTTTAATGTGAAAGAAGTGAACGAAGTTAAAAATAAAATAAAAATGTGACATAAGAGTAGATTTGTCAATATGGTCTAGGCCACCCCATCTGGGCTGACCAATACAAAATTCGACATTTCACCGGCCAGGCGAGGCTAGTGCAGTTTTGGTGTGAACCAAAAAATGACCGGCCCAACCCACTAGTACGTGGGTTACTGGCTTGCCGGTCCAGTCCACTTTTTTTAAAATTATATTATTTTTTGACTTATTATATTAAATTATAAATTATAATTTAAAAATATTATCATAAATATCGACAAAACAATATAGCATGATGTTAATTTTAGTACTTCTAATCAAATCCACAAATAAAATTATCTTTATAATATTTATTAAGTTTTATTTTTAAGTAAACGTATAAATTATCTAAATAGAAATATTAACCTAATTGTTTTGAGTTTGGACTATCTTTAATTTTAAATTTTAATATTATATTATATTTTTTAATCAATTTTTATTGGCCTACGCGCCGGCCCTACCGATATTTCTCAAGCCCCACAAATCAGCAGACTTATTCAGGTCGGGCTAAAAAACCCTTTTCTCATATGAGTTTCAAAAATCGTAGCCCAGCCCAATTAAATTGCGGATTAGGCTAGGCGACCCAACATTCTTAGCCCATATTGACGGCTCTACATAAGAGAGAGTTGATCAGATGGTAGAACTTCTCACTTCCAACCTGAAAGTTGTGAATTCGAGTCCCAACAAAGCATAATTGTGCCCTACTAAGGAGGGGTTAAAAAAAAGATAATTTTTCGTATATATAAAATGTAGTCATTAGTGACAGAATTTGATTTTGTTCAACTACGAAATACATATACCTTTAGAGATAATTAACGTCGTCACTAATTAAAGTAAAATAATTAGCGACGATATAATTTTGTCGGTAGTGATAATATTTTAATAACAAAACATACTACTAACTAAGAATAAACATAATTATATGACAAATAAAATTGTCACAAATGTATAAGCATTTGGGGACGATTTTTTTTGTCGTTAGTATAATACTTTTAGCGACAAAGCACAAAATCGTCTTTGTTTACTTTAAGACACACATATTTAGTGACGACTAATTGACGAATTATTTTTCGTCTCACAAGATTTTTAGTGACAAAATATGATTTATAAATGAAGAAATTATTTATCCCTGATAATCGAAATTTGTTGTAGTAATACTTCCATTATATGTTAACGAACTTAGTGACATGTAGCATACATAATGTTTAGTAAGAAACAAACTATGATATTTTTAAGAATTAATATGTAGATGCATACTCCTAAATTTTAAAGGATCATTTAAGTTATACATTTATATATTAGTTTCTAACAACATGTTTTAGCTATTTAAATTTGTTTGCACGTCAAAAAAAAATTTCAAAGTTAAATCTTGATAGATTTTGTCTATATTTCAACAATTAATACATTTTCCCTTTTTTTTGCCTTAGATTAAATTTTGAGAGAAAAATGAAAGTTTTATTTAATACAATTTACCAGTTATAATACTATGACTTAATAGTCAACATACCAAAAATTAGAAAATTAATGTTATTTCCATGTTTCCCTTATAATTAGATTTGATTTATAGATTTTTAGATTCCTTGATTCATTATATAAATATATACATCTATATAATGTCTTTTTCATCTTAATATTGCTCACTCTTTCCTTCCTTTCCTCCATAAATTCACTAAGTCTAGCTCTTCTAACTTGAATCATACGATGGTTAGGAATCCTTATTGTTGGACGATTGAACATCAAAACAACCTCCCAGAGAATGATGATCAAAATTTGTCAAAGGGTAAACTTTTCATTCTATGTGGAATTCGAAAAGTGTATCTTAATTACTATTTCACACAGGATGTTAATTGGAGGTTTTATGATCGAACATATTTCATCTATGAAAATACGAGAAGATTGTGTTTTGACATAGAAGAACATGAAACATGGTCCTCTAAGTTCAGTCAAATGGTTGAATCTTTATATGTTCCTCTCATGTATCAACAAGAAATGGTTCAAGACATTAAGGATAAGGCCTTGTTGATTGTTCAAGAAAATGATACATCTAAGAATATCTCAATCATCATTGACATAGCCCATCGTATTCCTCTGACAATTGCAAATATTTATCATGGTCATGACCACGAGGAAGCTAATGAGGATGAGCTAGGGTTAATAGAAGAACAAGTCGTGATGGATTTGATGACCTTGGAAGAAACACGTGTGTTTATGCCTGTAGTTCCAACATCAAAGGATGCTATTGAAGGGCTTGAGAAGGTGAAAGTAGAGACATTGAATGGTGTCAAGAGTTTTGGTGAAACTTGTATGATATGTCTTGGCAAGTTGATTACAAAGGACATTGTTGAACTAACTCGTATGCCTTGCAAGCATGTTTTTCATGGAGATTGCATTATTCAATGGCTTGAAATAAATCATGTTTGTCCATTATGTCGCTTTAGAATGCCAATTGATAAAGAAGATTAAAGCGACTTATATAATGGTTGACCTTATAAATCTCTCACTAAGCCTTTCTTCTCTCTCCCCTTTACTTATTAAGTGGAAAATAGTCATCAGCATTCTATAAACGACTTGATCGAGTCTATGCCCATGGAGGGCTTAGTGTTTTTTAATTGCTGTTTAGTTGTTTTTTTTTGAAGAAGTTACTTATATGGTAAGGGTTATATTGATCTCTACTATTTTATTCGATGTAGAAAGAATATTGTAATAGGGAAGACTTGTGGTCTTACCTTTAATATTTCCTATATCAAATAATTAAGTTTGTTTTGAAAATAATTTTCATCTATTTTTATTTTGTTTTACTTTTCATAATTATGCACTAAGATTTGTGTATTTGAGAAAAATCCAAATGAAGTTACACCAACTTTGGGTGGGGAAGCCAAAACTCTAAGTGAAACTATGCTTGAAGATGGTATTATGATTGAGTAATTAAGTGAGATTGATTAAGGATTTGAGTGTCAAAAACAAAATTAATAATGTTGTGTTATTGGCCTTTAGTAGCCAAGTTGACACATTAAATAAGTTGTAACACATTATTTAATTCTTTAAGAATCTTCTATCAACTTTATGTTAGTTTTAATTTATGTATAAACTACGTACTATGTTTATTTGATCGTTTTCTGTTCCGATTGATATCTCCTTCTTGAACGAAATAAGGAGTGATCTAAAGCAAGAGTTAGCCTTTAAATGTAGCGGCGCGCGGGCGAACACACACACACACACACACACACACACATATATATATTGTATCTCACACTGTTTATGTCGGTTAGTGATAAATAAGCTTTCTTATGACTTTTCAATTGTTGCATTGACCTTGTTCCAACGACACTAAGTTTGTGAATTTCCGAGGTCGTATGAGTGATACATGACATTCGGAAGATGGATTGTTGAGCAGAGAAAGTTCCAAAACTGGATTTAGTAAGGGTGTTTTGGTCTTTTCCTTAAGCCAACTTATTTCTTTTTGGAGTAATATGTTGGTGTAAAAAGTGATCCCATTCAGTTCACACACTTAGAAAAATAGACTAGGATTTTGAAAGCAATAAGAAAAGAGGAGAAGGAAGAAGAAGACGCAAGAACACCAAGTTTAGATTCGTGGATTTTCATTGGGGTGATCCCCAACTAGGTATGTGGGCTATTTTTGTGTTGGGTTACTTCACCCACACACCAATTTCATTCAAATCATTCAAGTTCATGAATTAACTCATGTTAGAGGTTGGAATCTTGAAAGAAAGTTTGACGTTCTTGTTGATTGGATTGTTGTTGATCGCTGTTAGTGGTAATCCATGTTTTAGGACTGTTTTTAGGTCAAAATCATTGGGTAATAAGTTAACTGTGGATCCTAAGTGTTCGAGGTGGGATCCATGGGAGTTTGGGAAGGTTTAGAGATGAAAAACAGAGAGAAAAGTTGGAAAACCCGTTGGGGGAATGCTGGGCCGCTGCACCTCCAAAGCCTCTTTGGACAGAGTCTGTCCGTCAGGCTCTGGCTCGCCGCGCCTCTCAGAGCACCTGAGGACAGACTCTTTCCATTAGGCTATGGCTTTCCGCGCCTCTCAGAGCGCCAGGACCCCCTCGAGACCCCGTTCTTTCCCTATCTTTTCGTACTAGCTCCTAAGTGATGTACTTCTCATTCCTAGTTGTTTCCAACACTCCAAGGTACATTTAAACATCAGGAAATCATCCATAAACATGAGATCATGATCCTTGAATCCATAATTAAATTCAAGAAAAGTAAGGTCAAAGTCAAAGATGTTTAGAGCGAAGTTTAGAAGTTAACAAACAAGACAAGGTCAAGTCTTCTAAAGTATTTCACAAATGTTTTCACTTTATTTCAAGTGAGTTCATTTCTCAAAAGCTATAAGGAGTTAAGTATTCCCTAAGAGTTAAAGTTTCAAGTTAAGCAATGAGAAAGAGTTGAGTTCATTTCTCAAAAGCTATAAGTTAGCTAAGTATTCCCTAAGAGTTAAAGTTTCAAGTTAAGTAAAGAGCAAAAGTTCAATTCTCATTTCTCAGAAAGATACAAGGTAACTAAGTATTCCCTAGATGTTTACAAATGTTTCACATTTGATTGAAGAGGGGAACCTAGAAGTTTTAAAAGAGTTTTGAACTAAAGGGGAACATTAATTCCAGAAGGAGCTTTATAAAGCTAATGGGTTCATGACATTATCTCAACCCAAAGGAAGGAAGTCTTATTAAAAGTATGAGCGAAAGTACATTTTGGGAGTAGTATTGAGCACCGATATGGAGATAATAGTTCATATTAACTCAAGTCTCCATGTAAACCATGTAGCCAACATGGTAATTGACATGTCATACTTTTTAAATGATCACATATAGAGAGATAGTGGATCCACTAAGTTGAGTAAGGTCCTATACCGATGGCTAGGTGTAGGATGGTCCTCTTGCAACGTGAGGTAAGACGTTGTATCATTACTTAGGCTCATAGTGATGGTTGTCGGTTCAAGAAATTCAATAGAGGCAATATTAACTTCTTATATAAGTACAGTTTTGAGTTTGTTATTGCATTTCCTTTAACGAACTAAGTTGTTTCCACTATTTTATGAACAATTGAGTCATTAACTCGGACTAAGTGATAGATACATCCCTTAGAAACTAACTTCCTCTCCTTAAGGTACGAAATGAAGCGACCTAGATATTGTGGAACTTTTAGCCCACTCTATGACTGGCTCATTTAGACTCTGGAATTAGACAACTCAAAAACTGCAATCTATTGATGCATAACAGGCATGGAGACAGTCTATACCTAGAATGAAATCAAATTCCACAATGTCTAACTATTTTAAATCAATCATGGTACTTTTGTTATTGATGAAGAAACGACAATCACGATAGACTCTTTCTACTAGAATAACTCCCCAACAGGTGTAGAAACACAAAAAGTTTCACAAACTTTTTAAGGGAGAATTTCAAACTGATTTGCAACATAAGGAGTTACAAAGGATAAATTTCCTCCTGGGTCTAATAAAGCATGAACATCAAAAGTAAAGACTTTGATCATACTCGTGACTACATCTAGAGAGTTCTCTTGATCTTGGCGGCTAGTGAATGCATAGAGGCGATTTACCCCTCCGCCGATACCAGAAGTAGCTCCTCTGGGTGCAAACCTGTGTGGTGGAGCAACAAATGAAGATTGGTCTTTATTTCCCGGATTTTAATCACCTTGCTTATTATTAGGACATTCTCTCATGAAGTGACCCTCTTTACCACACTTAAAACAACCTGTCTGGCCATCACGACACTTGCCAGGATGGATTCTACCACATGTAACACATACAAAAACTCCCATACCCCTTTGTGCCACATTACCTTGAGATTGGGCCAGTCTAGCATTAGAGTGTTGTGAGTTATGACCACTATACTCACCTCTGTTTCTGGGCGCATGTGCACTAGTAGATGATGGTGCATGCCCCTTTGATTTCTTGAATTGTGGTCGGCTCGAACCACCTTTCTGTTGGCCAGACTCATTCCCATTCTTAGCCTTCTTGTTTCGGTACTCCTCTCTATCCTTTACCTTCTCTTCTTCAAATTTTTGAACGTATACTATCAACATAGATATATCCTTGTCACCTATCAACATGGCAGCCCTACCTTCCTTTCTTGAAGCACGACCCAACCTTGCAACAAATAGACTCATTCTGCTCCTCATGTCTTTCACCATCTCAAGAGCATAGCGAGATATATAGGTGAACTTCAACCCATATTCATGAACACTCATGGAGTCCTGTTTCAGAGTAAAGAACTCCCTCACCTTGGATTCCTTCAGTTCACGAGGAAAGAACTTCCTCAAGAAGGCTTCCTTGAAGCAAGCCCAACTTGGATGTGGTGCATCCTCAGCCCTACCATCCTTCCATTAATCGAACCATATTCTGGCCACACTCTTCAGTGGATATGCAGCCAATTCAAACCTCTAAGCATCGAACACATGCATTACCTCATACACCTTCTTCAACTCCTCTATGATGTTCTTCGGATCTTCAACAATGTTTGATCCAGTGAAACTAGGGGTATTCATTCTCAAAACTCACGAACTCTTAAGGTATCAACTCCTTCTTGTCGAGCTTCTATCTGTTGCCCAACCTGGTTGGTCACAACCTGATTTAGCATTCGAATTGCTTCCCGCAATTTGACATTGATAACCTCTCCTTGGGGTTGTACCTCTGGTGCATTTGGAACCTCTTGTTCCTCAATATTTCTTTGTGGTCGACCTCTGAATGCTCTTCTAGGATGCATGATGCTTTGAAAATATGTGTTAGCACGAATTAGAGAGATACTTTTAGAGCTAAACTCTTCGCATGAAATAAGATGAAAGGATTGAAACAATCCTAAATATCACAGCCTCCTAATCATAGATACGGCGTGCTTCACACCGATGACTAAGACTCTATTGATACGGCTTCATTGACTCCCTAGGACTCTTGAACTCTGTGCTCTGATAACAATTTTATCAAGCCCCGAGCGTACATACTAGGCGGGATCGGCACTCGAAGACCATTACTGACCCTCAAATGAACCCCTGGACTGACTACTTAAATCAACGGAAGACAAAACCTCAACTTTGACACAAGTAAAACATAATAAAATGAAAATACATCATGTCATAACTTTGGACAAAATGGCATTTAAGTCTCAATAACTGAAAACAACTCCAACTGAAATACTTTAGTCTTCGAAGCCTCTAAACTGTCTAGAGAGGGATGTTGGGACATACCCCACAACATCCTAAAAGCTATGCTAATATAGAAATGAAAAGGATGTCCTCTAGAATGCAAGGAGGCTCACCACAAACTCTGAAGCTCAATCTGGAATCAACGAAGCGCTGCGTGCTGATCCTGGGTACCTGCGTCAGCATCATGAAACGATGCAGGCCAACTGGAATCAGTTCATTAAATGTACGAGTATGCGAGTTGGAGAGCTAAACAACAACTTAAGCTTGAGGGGATTAGATG